TAATGACCAAAAGTGCAACATTGACCTTTACTCCCTAGTGGATTACTGTGTTACATGGTATAAATTGCAGGAAGTCCATTTCCTTTTTCCAGAACGAATTCTATGTTGTACTTGGCTTTCTACATGTTGAAAGTGTAAGTGGAGGCATAATACTTCAGAATTGTCTTTTAAAGCTTTTGTGAATGTGTTTTGACAGTATATTCTTTTCTGTGCATTAAAAGCTGGTTTGTTTATTTATTTATTTAAGTATTGAGAGGAGTGGATTAGAAAATACTTTTTTTTGTATCATCAAAACTTTGTCTTTTCTTATGTTCCTCTTAATCACATTGCTCCATGCGTGAAGATGACGTAAACTGTCATCTTCCAAGTCTAATGACAAATATGACTTTCAAAATTATGTTGAAGCAACTGAAGTAAGTTTAAAAAAAAATAAAGAAAGAAAATTAATGAAAGTACAGAAACTTGTCCTTAAGAAATAGTGATAGAGCGCTTTCAAATACTGGTCTAACTTTGTAATATAGGAAGTGCTCTTCCCAGGCAAATACAAGTTTTTTAGCATACAAGAGATGCTTCTGACTTTGCGTTGTTTGGTAATGATAGGCCTGGACAGCTTTGTGGAGTGTCAGCGCTACTAATTCAGCAGTTGTCATAATACAGCTGATAATCACAATAATGTTTTGTAAGATTCAAGTAAGGTAATTTGCTGATTGGAGCAAAACCAAAACTGTTGGTGAAAACTCTGAGACTGAAGGGTGATTAATTCTCCTCAAGGGAAAGCTGCATTTTTTCACTTAAAAGTGAGAATGCTGGCTCCCTTAGGCAAGGGCTTTCATTATTACTGATAACACGTGTTAACTGTGTTGAGAAATCCGGGTAGAGTTTGATACTTTCATTATACCTGCTTCTTCTACAGTGCAAATACCTACAGTTGCTTAAGAAATCTTGTTTATTTAAGTATGAGATCTTACATGGTGCTTTGTAAAGTACAGCCTGTCAAAATGTAAAATGATCTGGAATAGACTACTGTACAGGAAAACAATGTATTTTTAACAATGAAGCAGAAAAAAAGTTAAAATTGTACATGTAAGTGCTTTCTTAACTGCTTAGTAAAGTGACTTAAGTGAATATTATACTTAGTAACTAGTCTTGCTGCTTAGTTATATGTCATTATGTTAAGAATTCAACTTATCAAGAGACAAATTTAAGTACAATCACTTGAGTTTGGCAATGGTTGGGTCAAAACATTTAAGTCCTTAATTAGATGGAATTAAGACAAAAAATTAGATGAGTGAAGACAATAAAAAATGTTGGCTCAACTTAATTTTACCAAATGGAGATGAATTCCTTCATGTTAATTTTTAATGATACTTCAGAAAGGAGGGTGGCACTTCAGTCAGGGGTCTGACAAGCTTGTCATTTGCAAATAAATCAAAAGACAATCATTGCAACAACAAGAACCAGTGAAAGCTTTAGATTTGTCATTCTTTGATAGGCCCTACACTCAAGCCCTCTATTAAAAATGAATGTATTCAAGAGGCTCTGCATTAAGAACACAAACAATTAAGGGCTCTTCAGATGCTCTGCTAAGAGCTGCCATAGAGCTAGGAGGGCTTTCATGAGAGATGCAGGCTTCTACAGTCTTCTTTACCAAGGAGCCAGAGAACATAAGCATGACTAATTGCGTGTCTCTGCTTGAAGCAGTTTTCTGCAAAATTTTTTCTGTTTACTCATTCTTCTGACTGCCCTACATGTCTCAAGATCACCACTTAGATAATAGCTATGTTATGTTGCAAGGACACTGAAAATATTTTTATGTTGCAAGGCCAATAAATATTCTTAAGGCTATCAAATAGGAGCCCCAAATCTGGAAAATACAGCTTGCTCCAATGCTCACCAATTACAGATGTTTAGTCTTGATTAACCAAACTGTCCTAGACTCCTTCAAAAAAGTTTTTGCTTCTGGAGATCAATATATATATCTATATATATCTATACATATATACAATATTTATGTGCACCTATTCAAAGATATTCTGTCTGGAAAGGTGAAAGCTCATTGCATTTTGAACAACTAGATTTGTATTTAAATTTATGAGATTTCCTTTTTCTCAATGCTGAAAACAATCTCTTGCAATTCCTGATATAGAAGACTAAGTGAATTGTGTGTTAATGCTTAAGTTCAGGAACTCACTGGAGAACAAAGATATTTATTTTTTTTGGACATATTTATGATTGAGAATACTTCTTACTAATTGTTGGAAGACAACAAACAGATGTTTGAGATCTGCTACTGGATAAATAATTTTAAGTACCTTTTTAAGTTGTGTGTGGGAAAGAGTACCAGTAGGTAAACTGCCTTTTAAAAGTGAAGACTTCGGTTATGAGTTGTGGAATAGTGTTTTTAATTTCCTTCCAATATAAATGCTTGTTACTTAGCACTTGTAACAGTAGCAAGAAATCTCAGAATAAATGCTTGTTTACGATTTGTACATTTAAGCTTATCCGCAACTGTGTATGAATATTAGGATGCTGTTTACATGTATAATTAGAAAAGATCTAATTGACTTGTCTTGGGACTGGTAACTAGCACATTACGTTCTCTTGTGTTACAGTGTGCTATTCTCTATTTACACTGCCACCATGAAAGTCAGATACCTGGGACCTCTGTGAGAAAACTCCACAATGTGGATGCTTGCATGCTTTGTAGACTCTACTCAAAATAGACTTTTGCACAGCTATAATAAGGATAATTTTTGCAGGATTGCACAACAGGGGGACTCGTGTGTAGGTAATGCACACTAAAACAGCTTTTCAGGAGAAAGCAAATCAGTGCATCCTGATCTACTTTATTCTCCCACTCCCCACCTGCTTATCACTTGGCTATGATTCATCCTGGTTTTTACCGTGAAAACAAAAGTAATCCTGTTGGTCAAGGGCAGTTAATTTGTTGGGAGCTAAACATCTCATCCCAGTCAGGCTGCTACATAACAGCCTTCTCATAGCTGATATATATAGTATTTGCTTCCAGAAAGTAAGGCATGTGGAAAAATGCCCTTTAGTACTCAAATTCTCCCAAACATATGTGTGCTTTTTTCATTAAGTTAACAGATAGTTGAAATACCAACATATCTGTCAAAAGTTTAGTCATGCAGACTTCCTTGTATTGTTTTTGCTGGTAGCTTATGTACCAGGTCATCTACAGAATGATGGATAGTTTGTGGTCATGTTCCAAACAAAACAGAAACAGTCAAAAACTGCTTAGTGTTTGATACTGTGTGAGAAGGTAGATGTTTCTGTTGAGAAAAGACAAATATTCATGTTGTTGCAGAGGGAGGAAGGTTTGCTGCAAAGCAGCAGTTGCATCATTGCCCCTGCCTGTAGGAATTAACCTCTTAGCCCTAAGACGAAACCACTCCCAAAGTGTTTGGAAGACCCTTGTCTCCATGAAACTGAAGAGTGGACATGCCCCACTGACTTTGGTCAGTTAGGACCGCAGTTTACATCAGTGTTTTACAAAACTCAGTGCTGTCAAGTATTTTCTCTTTCTCCCAGAGGTGGAGAAAGAGGTGTTAAAGCTTGTTGGCCATATTCAGACCCCAAGTCATGTGTCTCCTGAGACACAAAAACAGTGTGGGGTTTTTGTTTCCAAATTACTGTTTGACTGATGTGTAAACATCAGCATATCTCAGTGTCTTCCTAAGAAATCTGGGATGATGGAAGGCTTGGGGAAAGGCTCAGCAGATGAGTTAGCAGTATTTATCTGTCTTCTCTGAGAGAGTTTCTTTGTTAAGCTTTTGGGAAGTCGTTTCATGGAAGGCCCAACAGTTCTTAAAAGTGGACACCCCTGCCATGTCCTAAAACCAAACAAGAAGAAATATGCATATGGCTTAGTGATAGTGACTAGCAAGAGTTATTCAGAGCATCTTGCATATAGGCTGCATTCACATCTGGACATCAGTTTTCGTTTTGCGCAACTGTGCTCTAGTGACTGCGGGAGATGTTTTCAAGGAAAACTGTAGGAATTGTGCAAGTACCTTTTTACCTGTTTGTGGGAGTTGAGACTTCAAAAGCACAAAGCTCCTTTAAGACTTGAGGGATAGTTATAGTAGGAGATCTGAACGGTTGGCATGTGGTCTGAAAAGCATCCCAAGTAAGGCTGAGTAATAGCAGAGGAAGGGTCCTGTGTTCCACCATTGTGCATCCAGGTCTGAGTTGATGAACCAAATGTGAGAGATTCAAAAAAATAAAATAAAATAAACCACAAACCAAGCAAAAACGAGTATATACAAAGCTGATGGAAAGTGGGCCTTAAACAATTTGTGCTGCTGCTTTCTGTGTTGCTGTTATTGAAGGATTGTCCCTCTGCTGGTTTGTTTTCTTGCTATGCATAGTTGTACTAATTTGTTGTTACTGACTACTATTGCATTTTCTGATTGGCTTCTTTTTCTTCCTATCTGTGTTATTTCCGTTCACTCTTGTTATGGATGCTTTAGAAGTCTTTATTTTTTCTTTCTGTTCTGCTTCACTTCTGTTTTGGTATTTCATTTATACTCCTGTTGGTTTCTTTCTGTAAGCAAAACTGCCTTGTAATTGGCAGATAAAATTGATCATGAAAGAAACATTTTCCTCTGTGCCTGTCACCCTCATGTAATTCTGCTTCATAATTTGTGTAATAATAAATCTACCTTTTAAAAGGCTTTATCTTGGACTTAGTGGATTTCAGAAATACTTTACTTGTTAATGAGCTAGGTATGAGGACCAGATTTGTTCCTAAATGTGTAGACAGATTAGGTGCTGTAGACATGGCAGATGTCCTAGAGTAGCTGACTAAATCTCTGTCCTCATTTGGGCTTAAATATTAACTATTTATATTTGCAGTAGTATGAGGACATGGATTTCTTTATTTTCTCTAGTGTGAACTTAATATGATTCTGCACAATAGTTGATATATGGGAACAAGCAGAAAATGCATTTTAAATAATAATACTTTTCCTCTACAGACAGAAATCGCCAAGAGATTGAACACAATTTGTGCACAAGTCATCCCGTTTTTGTCTCAGGAAGTAAGTAAAACTGTTCAGCTGTTAAAGTGCAATTATGTTTCTTTTCTGTTTGCAAATTAGCTAGTTTTAAGATGTTAATTTTATCACAATGCACAAGTGTAAGGAACATCTGTTATAGTTGAAGTTTGCAAACCCCCTGCTAATTTGGTCTAACAAATCTGAGTTCAAACTAGTGACAATGGCTTAGCTTTATTCATTCCCAAAGGAGAGGGGCAGTCTGTAAAAATATTGTCAATGCAACAAAATGCCTTCATTTCTAATCACGGTGATTATTTATTTGATATCAAATAAATGACATAAATGAAATAAGTATGCTCATCTCGTCTACATGATTTGTATCAAATTTCAGTCTAAAAAGTGAGTAGTTAGCTCAGATGCAAGATGTTGTTTAAGGTTACAGACCTGCATCTGGCCTGAATGACTGATTGTAGTATACTGTAGGCAGCTACTGTTAAATTTTGAAGCCTGTTATTTAAAATATGCCTCTTCAAACTACAGTTTACAAAGACTGTTTGTAATTCTTGCTGGGTTCAGTGTAGCATTTATTCTTCCTGTATAAAATTTCTGTAGGTTTTGCTGTGTGGACAGAGTGTATAAATGTTGAAATTCACACTAGTGTGAGGTTGACATTATCATCCTGCCAGCTCAATTATAAACTGATTATCCATATGTCAGAAAATTAATTTTGAAGTGACATGGGGGGGGGAGGAGAATAGGTGGGCTTGACAGCCTTTAGGGCTCTCAGTTACCTTTGAAAGGGTGTGAAATGGGACACTGTTACCTTTTTGCCTTCATAAGGTGTGTCTTGCAATAAGCAAGTTGGGCTTCTGCAGAGAAACCAGTTACTCAGGTGTTAATGATCCTGATCTGATTTGTTGCAGTCAATACCCTAACACAAATTCCTCTCCAAACCCCTTCTTCTTTTAATAGCATCAGCAGCAAGTGGCCCAAGCTGTAGAACGTGCCAAACAAGTGACCATGGCTGAACTGAATGCCATCATCGGGGTACGTGGCCTTCCAGGTCTACCTCCTACAGTGTGTATAACTTGCTTTCATATCTTATTGCTTTGCTGTTTTAAAATAAGCTTAATGTTTTGATAGCTAACACTGTTTTGATGCCCAATGTTGTTCAAGTGTGTTTGATTTGCTTTGCACAGATTTTAGCAGGGGTAAAGTTAATAGTTTGCTTTGTCAGAATATCACTTTGTGCAGCAATGCTGTGCTTAACAAAACTTTTCCTCCAAGAAATACAGTGATTAGGACAGTTGCTTGTTTATTTGTAGGTATTGTATGTAGTAGTTACCTTTACCTCACGCTTTCTGTGACACTTGAATCCTTAGAGCCTGTTCAAGTATTCATTCTTCTTTCTTTCTCTTGTGAATCTTTCATGAATTTTAAATTAGCAAGCTACTGAAAAGAAACTTCACTTGCTTTTGAAGTAGTATTAATTGTCTGACACAGTGCTCTAATAGCCTTTCACCAAGTTTGTGCTTCTAAATATGCTGAAATAAGTTAATACTACTTGCTTGTGACTGGTTGTCAATCACAAGTCATTTGTTTTGTATTAATGAACTTTCTGAACCATGCATTCCTTCCACTGCATGAGTTCATTTCCCCCGCCACTAAGTCTAGAATATTTCTCATGTTTTCTGCCCTTCCAGACTAAGTGAAAGAAGTAGCCGAAACAAGAAGCCGTCCGTTCTGATTTTATTCATATGTGAGCGCCTTGAGCAGATTCAAATTACTCATTTATCAATTTATGTTAATTGCTTGTGAGAAGATGCCCTGCTGGTCTTTATAGTTCCCTCAGACACTTTGTAATGATAATTAGACATGCTGCTGTACGGATTAACAGTGCCATAGTCCAATGACGTCTGCAGACAATGGAACCAGTTAATCCATCTGTGCTTAAAATTACATCCCAACTGGAGATGGAAAAAAAAATAAGAGTGAGGGAGGATTAAAAGAATGAGCCTCAGCTTGAAAACTCTCCTTTCATCAGTTTCTCAATTGCAGATCTGCAGTCATTTTGCCTGTGGTAAGCTATTGGCAGTCAATTAGGTGAAATAAACTGGGAGGGTGACCTTCATTTCCTCTTAATAGCTTTTCCTCCCTGAAATGGGGAGCTTCAGTGGATTTTCAGCTTAAATTTTATTCAAGCTGCTTTATTACACTTGACAGATTAGCTTTGCATAAACAAACCCCCCCATTTCAAATCTGAGCTGTTTTTTTCCCCTTCATATCAAATTTGACTGTTGCTTAGTTGATTTGCTTAAAATCACATTTAAAAAACCCACACAATTACATCTGTATTTGTCACAATCTCCTCTGTGCTTTACTTGTGCAATGAATTACTTTATTTCAAAGATCAAATCAGGTATTCAAACAGCATGTGTACATTTCTGATATTTGATTAGCAAAGATTAGAGAACTGTACTTTCTTACATTTATTTGGAAATGAGTTCTTAGGATGAAAATGGAAATCTCTTTATAATGAACTAGTTTTAAAGAATATTTTATGTGGTATATGGAAATATGTGTTAAAAATATATTTAAAAACAATCTTGCTGAATTTAAAATAGTGAGATTTGGTTTGGCTACGTAGCTCTATCTCAAGCACATCTTTTACTTCTTTTTAAGTCTTCACAAAATAGTCTTTTAAAAGCAACTGGGATCAACAGATACCGCATGCAATTAACACTTTCTGTGGGGAGCACTTTTTTGGAAGTAGGAGTTGAACCTTCATCTTTTTCTCTTTCAAATAGCCAAAGATTGACCCAGAGTAAATACTTTCCTGCATCTTCTGAAACACTTCTGAGCAATGCTGTATGAATCCAAAACTACGAGTGAGGAAACAAACATACTAGGCACAAAATTTCTTTGGCCATGTCAATGCATGCATATGCATTTTACTAAAATTAGATGTATGTCACAGTGATCTTTTACAGTCTTACATGGTCAATAATTATCTTGTGCTGCACAATAAGTTTCATGCACTTGACATATGCTTGATTTTGTTTGAAAGGGACTGTGCGCATCCTGGAAAATCTGAATAGCATAAAATTGGGTTGACAATTCAGTGGACCTTTGCTCCCCCTCACTGAGCATGCAGTGTGTCAAGCCCTTTCCCCAGAGGGGAGGAGACATCAGAAGCCTGTCTGTTCCAAAGAGCGGCAGCTGCACTGGAAGTAAGCATGGCCCAGTTTGATAGCAGCTGTCAGTATTGTTCAGGGATTCGACTTAGTGTAAAGAACAATGGAAGGGCCATGCTGTTTAAGTGCAGTGTCTTTCAAGATAAGAAAAGAAATAGTAATTTAACGGTTTAGACATCTATTATGAGCATGAAAGATCATGAAACTTCTTTCAGAATGCAAATAGGATGGAGCAGTCTGTAACAGTAGAAAATCAAGTACTCACTGGCATCGTACTACTGAGGATGTTTGTGTACAGTAAATTTTGAGCATAGAAGGAATGTTTAATTTTTCTAGCTGATATCCACTTAAATAGTTTCTCTTTACTAAATCTTCATTTTTGTTGGTCTTTGACTTTTTTTTTCCATCTTTCCTTTCTGTCTTTAATAGCTATTGTTTCCTGGCACTAGATGATTCAAAAGTTTCCCAATTGTCTTCCTGAGTTAGAGCAAAACACGATTCTTCTTGCTGCTGGGCCACATGTAAATTCTGGAAGGAAACAAAACTTTTAATTAATGTGAACATTTTATTTTGATTTTTTTTTAAAATTTTTTCTTCTTGAGCCATCATAATTTTATACTTCAGTCTTTTTCCTTTTGAAAAAGTAGAAACCTGTTGGTTAGAGGAGAGACTTGAATACATCTTACATCTTCATGGAACTATAAAATTTTCTGGAGAATTTACCTAGAAACTCAAGACATATTTTGGAGTTGGTTAAGCATGCCCAAAGGAAAAAAAAAAAGTTAAACAAAAATTGACACGTTAAACAAAGGCGAGAAGTATATGTGGTCTTATGAGTGCTAGTCTTCTACACAGATTAAAACTTCTGTGGAAGATATTAGGCTCTTAATGGTTGTACCTCTGGCCATATACTTTTCCTGCATGTTCTTGAAGGCTTTACTTTCCAGCCATTGGGTAGAAACATAGCTAAACAAACTGCATGACTTCCTTTTTTTTTTTTTTCTTGAAATTGCATTATTTAATAATTTGTTGTATTCTAGTTGAAAGAACTAGAAGATTTATTAGGTAGTTGAATAATCAAACAAAAAACTTTGACTTAAAACTGTACCTGTTAACTCTATCACACTGTTGTAGCTGTAGGCAGTGTCCATGTTTGGGGTTAAGAGAGAATCCAAATCATAGTATGAAATAATTAATTAGATAATCATGGTTTAACTTGAAGGGATTTTTATTTTCCAGACATGATCAGCTTGGAAAACTTCCTGCTGAGAATGATAAGGCACAGTTACAATTGACCAATCTATTTAGATGTAAACAATGGATATTATTTTGTTTACTTCAGAATTAACAAAGTAGGCAGATTTAAAAGTAGAATATATAAATATCTGAAATAAGAACTATAAGCAGAAAGCTGGAATATTTTTTAGCATTGAATTTTAGATACATTGTTTCAATGTACCACCATGTATGCCTTATTTTGACATTTCAGATAAGTTGTTAATGCTCCTGTAAAACATATCTTTTGGATTGACAGTACTCTTGAGATAGATTGAGTTGTAGGCTTCCGTGAGGCCTCTCCACTGTTGCATGAGGTGATTGGCGAAAGGATTAGCAAGATGTGGGATTATTTTTTCTCTCCTGGCTGTGGTTGCCAGCTATCTCTGGGATTGTAGTGTGTGAAGCTTAAGAGGATGAGGTTAACCTCTTGAGGGTTTATTCTTATGAGTGTGTAGTTAATCCTTAAAAAGCCTATAAATAACTAGGCTGTATGTTTCATTAAAAAATAGAAATACAGACTAGAGCAGAAATGAATGCAGAACTTAGTGCAATGGAAGAGCTAAGCAGCTGTAGCATTACTTCAGATCCTCCTTGGCTGTGATATGAATTACGTGCCAAGGGGAGGGGAAACTGCCTAGTTCTTAGAAATCAAATAAAATGAGATCTTGTGAGCACAAGACCTCACTTTTAACATAAACCAGGTAGCCCCAAGTCTGAATTATTAAACTCCAGCAGTAATAGTTCAATTGTCTGGAAACTGCCTGGGTTATTCTTCGTGTTCTTCTTTCTTTATAATACATAGAAACCTTAATTACATGTTATTCTGTCATGCTTAGGTGCTGTTAGAATATAAAAGCTTAAGATTTGTAAAATAAGTTTAAAATAGGTAGCAAGTGGAGATATTGTTTGTCAGCATGACAACTGCTATTCTGAAAATGCCAGTCCTCAAGCAACAGTCAGATTTTTTTTCAAACATCACTAAGTTTTGAGGAAAAATAAGAAAGTGTTATTAATGTGTACTGATCATTTGTCCTACTGGAAACAGAAAACCTGGGAGAAGGTTCGTGAAATGTGAGTTAATATCACAGTCAAAACCACATTTATTTAATATTAGACTCCCCCTCCAAACTGGTAGTGGGATGGAGAACACTGATTTGTCAATATGGAGGAGGATGGTATCTTAACCAGACAATTCTCTGAAGATGAAAATACTTCGTCATTCAGAAGCGGAAAATTGCATATATTACTTAAGTGTAATTCACTTGTAGGTCAGATCTGTTATCTTGCAAAGTTTCCTGTGTGGGTGGGTAGAAAAAGCAGCACCTTAGATCTTAATCCCAAAAGAATCTGCAAGATGTTTAGGTGGCTCTCCTATCTAGATTCAATGTCTAAGCTTCCAGCCAAAGATGAGACCACGTGTATGGTTATAAATCCAACGGTGAGTTGATGCCACTCATATAACGAATAAATGTTGGGGATATGGTTTGTAAGTGTTAATGGAGAGTTGTATGTTGGCCTACGTTGCAGCAGAGAGGTGCAGCAGGGACTGGTAAGATTTAGAAGGACTTTTTTAGG